TTAACTGATGTACTAACAATTCCTCTTGTCATCGTCAATGGCTACTTTGTCTCTCCAGGTGATTGTGCTAATAAAATAATCTGCTGAATCTCTTAGCCATAACACATACCCGTGCTCTCTATGAATGAGGGACGTGGAATGTGGAATCCTGGTGTTTAAAATTGGTGTGCTTAGGTTTATGTGAACTGACTTGTCACAAAACCTTGCCAAACCTTGTCAACGAGTCTGCCGAATATGTCTGCTATACTTCAATTTGGGAAGTGTTTATTTCCCCCTTTCATTCAGTTTTGCAGTCGTAATGGTACAACAGCCGAACTTCCTTTTGGAGGTCAAAGCAGAGTTCGGATTTATCGTCATTATTCTGATGCCGCATTGGAATGGTGCGGCATAGAAATGTCACCGAGCCTGCTAAACCGCAATTTGGAATTGTGGCTGTTGAACGATTCTATCTGCAGAGACCTGAGCCCCCCTGTACTAGGTGACGATTAGACAGTGAGGCATGCCTTCACAGAGCTTTTTTTCTTCTTTAGGGCGAAAAATCTCCGAGTAATTCGACCCTTTGCTCACGTTCAAGAGAAAACTATTCGGCCTTTTGCGGAGAGGGTAGCCCCTTGTGCATTTACTTATTTTCTATTGATCCAGCCCCTACTTAATTTTTTAAATGCTACTGAATTTGCTCTGTGGAATTTTTGTTTTTGTCATTTATTTCAAATAGGCAAGCGTTCCCATTATTCCTGAAAATTGTCCCATCTGCTTCGAAATACCCGAGCGCATGCGAGCCAAACGCGTTCTAGGTGACTACGAGAACATCTTCCCATATCTTTACAATAGTCTTCAGGCTGCAATGATACTCCTCATTTCTAGAGGCGCAGCCTTGGGTCTTCCGGGTCTCGAGGATGCTGAAGGAGTCCTAGCCCTCGCAGCCAAGGCAACGAACGGAGACACGCTTCAACTCGACTTTCAGCGAACACCATCAATACCCCATTGTTTCTTATAGCTTTAAGTGGGAAGTGACATCCATTGCCCCTTTCGACAGTTGTACG